GTTGTTTGGCGGGTCCGGGCTGGGGATTCGAACCCGCCACCTTAGGTGTACGTGGCTGGCGCCTTAGCCGGTTGAGCTATAGGCGCCGAGCCTTATTGTAGAATCTTATTTATACTCTGTAGCTTGTCAAATTACAGATTCTTTTCATTGGAATAAATTCAGTTCTTACATTTCTCTTTTATTTATCTTGCCTTAACTTTTCAGATGAAAATAAAACATAAGGAACCAGAAATAAAGGTTTTATGGTATATAATTCCTGTGATATTTATAATAACTGTAAATCAGTCCATTAATTAATGTAATTCTCATAGTAACTCATTGACATAGGTACTGGTATTTTTACTTTTCTCAAATCAGGAGACTGAGAGACCCATCACAGGCAGGAAGTAGAAGACTTGAAACTGACATCCAGCTCTTGACTTTGTGAACTTTGCTTTCCTATTCAAAAGTGTTTTTTAATAGTGTCTCAAAGGTGTACTGTTCATCTCATGCTATGATAGGCTTCAAATAGTATTCCTCCAATCTTTTTACCTTCCCTCATTGTTGGTGACATCTGACAAAACAATCAACTGTCATCATTCCATTGGCCAGTTTACAGAGACTTCTGGAACCTGTGCTGTTCATAGCAACCATTTAACCAATGTCTTTTTGTATGATCTCTCATCCTGAATAGTAGGATGAATTCAGGTATCTTTTCAAGGAATGGGTAATCCTTATTCTTTAAGGTGTTTCCTTAATGGCATTCCTTTTTCTAATTGAGGACTTCAAAAATTGGTTTTGGTTATTGGAGGCATGGTGGGGGTGGGGTGTGCATATTCCATGTGTAACATGTTACATGTCTTTAATCTCTTAACGTATAATTCCAAAATCCTGAAATTTTGGGAGAGGGTATACTGAATACTCATTTGATGGCAAAGTGACTGGAACTGATACAGGGATATTTGTAGTTTTATTTATCTTGCTTACTGTGCATATCTCTACATGTTGCAGGAGAAGTATTGAGAATGAACCCACAAGGGGGTTCACTGTTGTTCGCCGCACAGGAAGCCAGTTCTGAGACAATGATAATTGTTAAGGAAGACAGGATTTAATTTAGAGGATGTGTCAACTGGAAGGGGCAGGCACAGGTTACCTCAGATCCACCTCCCAGATGAGCAGGGTTAAGGGATTTTTTATAAAGGGAGTGAACCCCATTGCGTGTTTGTGGTGGAGTGCAGGGCACACAAGTGCAGTGAGGAATCATGCTAGTTCATACATCCCATGAACAAAAAATGATGGACAGGTCCCTCTCCAGGATGGGGATTTTAGTATTATAATAAGCTAGAAGTTAATATTGTTTCTGTTAGCCTTGCACGCAGGCTCAGTGGTTCTTGGTCGCAATCTATGCTTTTGTATTGCTTATCTTGACTTTCTCCAGATACTCTGGTAGAGTAAGGTGTATCAGTGTACATAGAATTACAAAGTTCTGTTTAGCAGTTTATACTGATTACTCTCTGTCTCTTCTCTGCTTTTTCTAAGACTGCCGTTGCTAGGCCACTGGAGCTGATGTAATACTCAATGTTTCATCCCTGTCAAGTCCAGGCAACTTAGCTACCTGCTTCAATTCTGATGTGAACACTAGAAACTCCTTTGGAATACGAGGGAACTAAGACACTAGAGAATTGTAAAATTTTGTTATGAAACCAGTCACAGTATTAATGTATTTATTCATAATGTGTGGTCCCCAAACCTCCTCAGGTAGTGGATATAAGATATACAAAGGTCTGACAAATTAAGTTTGTGAACTTGCCTTTGTGTACTTGCATTGGCAGCACTGTACAGACAACTCAGGAAGGTCTTGTAACCTTCATATATCAAGGTCTCACAGCTTGTGTCTGTGTGGCAGTGTCTTGATAAGTGGCAAGACATTATCATTGTGTGTTTTTGTATGCTGTCAAGAGATTATCAGAGCATGATTACAGCAATGAACAAACATTAAATTTCTTTTTAAATTTGGGAAGAGTGGAAGTGAAATCAGGGACATGTTGGTCCAAGTTAATGGGGATAGTGCCACGAAGAAAATGGCAGTGTACAAATGGATTAAATTTTCTGAAGGGAGAGAGTCACTGATGATGAGAGGTCAGGGTGGACAGTAATGAGCAGAACTGATGAAAACAGCAAAAATTTATCAAATTGTGCACCAAAATCATTGGCAGACTGTGAGAAACATAGCAGATCAAGTAAACATCCATAGAGAAACAGGAAGATCTTAACTGAAAATCTTGCCCAAAATGATGTTTCTTGCATTGTACTTCCTCTTAGCCAGTAAACAAACTATATTGGAACACTCTCCATACTCACTTGATGGGTCCCCAGTGACTTTTTTCTTTACCTAAAGATAAAGGAAATATTGAAAGGAAGACATTTTGATGGCACTCAAGACATGAAGGGTAATACAATGACTGCTATGGTAGCCATTCCAGAGGAAAAGAGTTTCAAAATTACTTTGAAGGGTAAACTGGGTGCTGGTGTCAGTGCATGGCTTCTCAAAGGGAGTACTTTGAAGGTGGCTGTAGTGATACTGAGCAATGAGGTATGCATCATTTTTCTTAGGATAGGTTCACAAATATAAACTTAATTGTCAGATCTTGTATATGCCACTACTTTTCTAAATTCTGAAAAGTTATGAATTCTGAAGCCCAGCTGGCTCCAAAGGTTTCAGATAAGGGATTGTGAGCCAATATTAAGGAGTTTAAGACGTCATATTACCAGAGATAGTATTATGTATGAGGACTTTTTTTTTT